TCTGCCACTCTTCCCAAAGGGCCCGAGCGCCACAGTCTTTCTACGTCAATTCCAACGAATTAGATGAAAAATTGACCTTGATGTTTTAGAGTTTTTGAAACGTGTTTCCATTATAATAGCAGAAGAAACTCTCACGTGTTTCTTTTTTGTTTTCGTTTTAGTCGTATACTTCAGAGTAATTCGAAATTGGAAACTACAAACTAGCGCGCGTATTTTTGCGAAAATTGAATTTTTATAATTTATTAAGATTTAATGATTTATTAAAGCTAGTTATTAAAGAAAATCCTACTTCTAAGTACACAAGCCACAGGGCAGAAGCACACGTATCTACTCCTAAATGTGTATAATAAATTTCCACCTTCACAGGGAGAGAGTGCAAAAAAAAAAAAAAAAAAAAAAAGATTCTCAGCTGCCTCCGCCGTTGCATCTTTGTTGCTATCGATTTTTAACTGCTCAGGCTTGATTCTTCAAAGTATTTGTGGTTTTTACGAACTATATTTTAATGGAAGTGTGATAATTTTTAAAAAAATACCTAAAGTTTTTGCTCAAAAAACGACTCTATACATGTTCTTTGAAAATTTTGTGTGAATTATAATTTGATTGTTTGGTTAGTGATTTCGGGCGCGTCAACTGCTACTTACTACGTCATTAGTCCCGTAAGTTCCGTGAATTCTTTTGTTGCGGGAGGTAGCGGTGATCTTCCCCAGCGGGTAAGCGAGATCCGGCGCCAACTTACAATTCGGCTCGCAGGGTTCTCCTCAACCAGGTATCTCCCACCAGCTGGGCGCCGCTCCAGCCGGGACACGCTCAACACTCCCCACTGGCCCCCCGACATGTATGGTAGTGTGGCGTCGTTAACAAGAGGGCCAGAACCGTTAGGTCGGTGAAAGTACGCTGCGGGGGAGGAAGGGGTTGAGCCTGAACTTCCGGGAGTTTGCGCTCTGGCGGTTGACTCAGGTAGAGCCGCAGAGCCAAAAATACCGTAGGCTGTAAACTCCGAGGATGCTAGCCAGCGAGCCTCGCTTACGGTTTAGCAGGCGAGCCAACCTGAGAATCCTGTGTGTTGGCGTAAACCAAGCTGCTGGCCAGCGAGCCTATCTATGGAGCAGTGGTGGGGGGTGTCAGCCTCAACTATTTAACGCGGCGCCATCTGCGCCCGCGTTCTCATTCAGTTGCATCGGGAAGCTTGTACGTGTGTGTACAAGGGGTGTAGGAGTGTGGGCGAGATGTCCGGAGAGTAAGGGCCAGACGATCTCGCGTGCTTTAGGCACACGGTCGCCACGACCGGGTTAAATTTTGGCGTCAGGCCATGTGACGGTAGTTGTCACGGGACGGAGGTCCGACAGCTCGCATCACGCGTCGCTTGTATTTTTCTGCGGTAAAGCAGAGTATTGAAAGGATAAGGTTGCCGGAGTGTTTTAATATTAGCAAATTATTGTAACTTGTACATAATCTTTGAATATGTCATTTTTATTTTGTTATTGAAATTTATTTCTTATTTCACTACGTCACAGTAGTGTAGTGCATGTGAGTGTGCAAGTAAGGGATGAGGATAGTGAATATTACAATGTTATTATCGATTTCAAACAAAATATATAAGATAACTTCACCTTAAAGCGTATTAGATACTGGTAATCGCGAAAAATCTATTCAAAAATTCATAACATTGCTGTGAATTAACTTTTGAGGGTTTAAAAGAAATATTCGTAGTTTGTAGAGTGTTTCTTAATTAGTACACACTATGTTAATTGCGAAACGATCGGCGTTTTCATACGCTTGGTTCAATTTTTATGGGTAACAATTTTTTCATACATTTGTTCAGTCTAGAAATGATGATAATCTGTTATAGAATTTAGTTTTACAATATATTTATAACTATCATTTGTACAGATTGAGTTCTTTCTTTGAACTGCATTGGAAGGACCCTCTTGTGGGGCAGAATGAATGTACTCCATTCGTGAATTACTTTAATGTTCTAAATTCTCAAGAACAATTTCTACAGCCATGATCCTTCGAACATTGTTATGCTATTTTTTACTTTACGCTTTCTCTTCCAGTTCTTACTTTGCATTTCTGTTGATTGAATTTTTTTTGTAAGCTGTTTGGAATAGGAGAGTTGCTTTGTCATCGAAGATCGGAATGCAATGCTGGCTCATTCTTCTTAGTGTCTGGCAACTTAAGCCTGACAAAATGCCTTCTATGTGTGTCGTATAAATAATTATTTTTTGATATCCCTTCCTAATTCTCAGATATACGCATAAATGAAAAATATGGAGTTTATTCATTCACTTCTTTCCCCTCCGCTATTTTGCAGTTTCCATTTATTTTTCAGATTTTATAATACACATGTAATGAAAAATATGAAGTGTATTTCTCTCTTGCCCCGTCAAGCTTGAGAGCATACAAGAGTCAGTATTGAAATATTGTGTGACATAAAGAGTTTTAATGTGTCGAATATCTGAAAAAGGAAGATTAGAAAGTTAAGTGTAATAAAACTATTTGATAGTTTTCCGAGGACTTAGCAGTAAATGTGATTTGTCAATTACGCATTAATGAAAAGGAAGAATAAGGCTATTCAAAAAGGTAAAAAGGAGCAAATAGTTGAGTAGGACATTCGATATTTTTACTTTACATAGTTTTATTTACTGGTCGCCCTGATTTACTGGTCGCCTGCATTCCTCGTCTACAGTCTATCCTGGATGCATTATGCGTTATGCGTGAATTACATGTATTTGCATACTATTTCAAAATAACACGATGTCATTCATATTGATAAAAACGAGGGGGGATTTCTGACTTACCACAGTATGTAATATATTAACATTGATCATTTTATGTTTGTTTACCAATTTAAAAAATCAATCTTTAAGCAAGAGACACGTACTGATAGTAGAGAAAATAATAATTTTCTAAAAATAAATCTCTGATCTTTAAATCGTGCTTTTTTCTCTTTCTTTCGTTGTCGATATGACGGTGATATGCTTTCAAACAGTGACATAATCACATATTCGAAACTCTGTGACATCTTATGAACTGTTTTATTGCTTTAATGACATAGTCAGATGCAATAAGGCTAAAAAGAGTTGGCTAACGAGTTTTATGTTAGTGTTGTTTTCACCACCATATGAATTCAGGAACTCAAAGTAGAATTGTCTAAAGTTTAAAAACGTATACATATAAAATATAGTGAATCCCAAATAAATTTACAGAGTAAGTATAGAAGACTTGCTTGAACCTCAGTTAAGAACGAGTGTCTCAAAAACGACAACATGAGAATCATTTAACGTAATAATAATACGTTTAACAGTAATTTTTGATAATATAAAAATGTGCAATTTAATGACCAACAAACATGACAATTATACGAAACGCTCCGTATTTTATTTGATGGGGCAGCCGCTGCTTGATTCTTTTCGATTTCCTCCGAAAGTGCACTTCGAGCGCCTTCCTGAACGCACTGCGCGCTGCCTGTCCTGACTCGGATGTGCATATTCGCAGACGTTCAGTCGCAGCGGACTCCGCCACCGGAGCGACGACCTTTTTCTTCTGACGAAGCGCGTGCGGGGAGAGGTGAGGTAGCAGAGCACATACACTGGCCCGAAATGCGTGAAAATGCGCCAACAGAAAACCATGAAACCAAAAAGTTCAGTATTTTCATTATAACTCGTAATTCGCGAAAGTAAATATTTGTTTAGATTGAACTGTTAATATCGGAGATAAGAAATGCCCATTCTAAATCTGCCATTTGATTTTCTTTGAATGTTGCAATAAAGAAAACGATAAACCCACACAATAGAAAAAATAGTTTGCCATGTAAACATATGACTCTAAAAAAGGGAAACCTTTTTTTGATGTTTTACATGATTCGACGAAGCCTATGCTAGTTTCGCTAGAATCGTCAAGTCCTGAATTCCAATGACTTACAGAACCGCTTTGAAACATTCAAGCTTCGTGAAGCAGGATGCGCCTAATTCGGCATCCAAACATCTGACGCAAAAAGGATAATGAGGACAGGCTGGGGAAGGAAATTTGACATTCCGCCTCGAACCTAGGACTTCCCGGGCTTCGAAACTTCAGTAGTGGCATAAGTTATAACAATTTTCACGTATAGGTTATTTTTTATTTTTCGGCCAATGAAATCATTGGAAAGAATTTCTATTTATTGTACAGCATCTTTGACCGGGAGGTTCGGGTCCCGACGACTGCGTATTTTCGACTCAAGCCGCTGAGCGGAATTCAACCAGTCTGGGAGAGAATTTTAGCAGCTGATTGTTCTTCTTGATTGTTCACCATGATTTCTCCGATCAATACCAGGCGAATATAATTGATATTGTATCAATACCAGGCGAATACCAGAGCATCGTAACAAACGAGCCACGGTCGTCAATTTCTACCTCCTCATTATTCTCCTTAATTGTCCCTTACACAAATACATACTTATACGCGCCACACTACCATATACGTCGGGAGGCGAATGGGGAGCTTAGAGCTTGTGCAGGCTAGGGCGGTGACCAGTTTGTGGGAGATACCTGGCTGGGGAAAACATGGAAGCCGACGTGTAGGTCGGCGCAAGATCTCGCCATCCAGCGGAGGAAGAAAATGGCCACCTTCCCCTGATAAAAGCATGTACTGCACTTATGAGACTAATTGTTTATTTAATCCGCCTGGAAACCATGAAATTACTAAATTTAAAAAAAGTGTATCTTTAATTTTGAATAGTATTTCCCAACGAAATATTTGTGCTAAATGTTAAATGTACCTTCCCTTTGTTCGTTGCTCACAGTTGAGGCACTTCGGGTAAAAGTGATGACAACTTACATTTCAGGTGAAATTAGAATTACCGAAACATTATATGTAATGACTATCTAAAGTGCAATAAAGATCAGTTGTAAATGAAATTTTAGGTCGTCTCAAAACAATGAACCCATTTATTCCTTCTAAGGGATTTAAAAACATAGCGACAACATCCCATTCATCATAATTATCGGGCCGATTTTATTATGGCTTGGCGGGGTGGGTGTGGCCCACTGCGGGGCGTCGTCGCCCGCAGAGCCGGGCGCGGGGCGCCTCCGGGCGGGCGGCGTATTTTGGGCGGCGACGCGGGAGCTCGGGTTCGCTGCAGTGCGTCACCCCGCGAGCCCGCTGCGCGCCGCGCCGCTCGGGGAGGCAAATCCGATTTCCGTAAACGAGCCGCCCGCTTCCTGCCGGCGCCGCCCGCCGCTCGTCGACTCTTTGCCGCCGCGCCGGAGCGTGCGTTTAACCACAGGGCTGCGGTGGAGGTGTAATAAGAACCTCGTGGGAACCGCACGTCGTAAATGATTGATGGCATCTCTTTAAGAGTTTGCTGAAAATATGATTGATTTGGACGACAGTATCAAGAAGTGAATATACATTTGGTTGTCTTAGGAGTATAGGAGTGAGGAAAGGGGGCTGTGGGCAGGGGGGCAGGGGGGCCGTACCCCTACTGAAACCTTTGATAGGGATCGCCATAACGTATTAAAACATTTTATTTCCAATGCCTGGTTTTTACATTTTTAATCAAAATAATAGGTCATTGTTATACGTTTGAGTAAGAAGCCTTCCAAGCCATTTGGCAATCCATTCTGTTTATGAATGGTAAAGTAATAATTTCACTCTTCTTCTTTTGTTTATTATACCTTGTTGTATTAAAGTATGTTTTATTTATTTACTACTAAAATATGTCATCTAAATAAACATTAATTGAAAAGGGGGACAAGATATGTAGTTGCCCCACCCTCCACATGTTTTCGGCTACGCACGTCTACGGTTAGGAGAATAAACTGTGTTAGAATCGGCAATAACACACTCAGATATTAGAAATTCGGCATACACACTATTCAAACAATAATTTTACTGATTTTGTGGGAGTAGATGAATATTAAAATTCATTTGAATGAATAAGTCCTAGATAGGAAAGTTACTATCTAGTACACTCGTTCATGAAACATTTAACATTTCATGACTTCAACTACAGTTCTATTTTTATTAATATCAAATACGAATATTACTGATTTTATCACATTTGTATTATTATTATTATCATTATTATTATTATTACTATTATTATTATTATTGAATTTCTTCTTTATTTGTAACATAATTTACTAAAATGGGAATTCCATCGGAAATATATACGAGGAGTATGGAGATTTTGTATTAATTTCCATGTAATGTGAAAAATATAGAAAGATCTCTTTTCTAAACATTTGCCAATAAAGTTCATCGGAAGAATCACTGGGCATAATCGCCAAACATTACACCCACATATGTATTGATCATCCTCATGTAAGACAACAGCCGAATCTTCAAGACGATAGGTTCCTTTACATGCAACACACCTCATTGCTCCCCATTTTAATAGTTACGCCTTTTTTACAAGAGGGTCAACGCGCACATGTCGGAGTTAAGCATCGAATCACAGTTTTCTTCGCTCTCTTCCGATGCAAATCTCTCTTATAAATAACCCTTTGGCCTACTTGCGGCTGAAAATATTCGGGTAGGTTCGGATAATGGATGGCGGCCTCCCCGCTCTCCCCCTCCCGCGCGTTCCAACGTTCGTTTATCGCCTTGAGGATTGCGGAGGCCCTTTTCGCTTTGAAGTAATAACTCAAGATCAATTTAGCCCACAAACGAGTTGCCGACCTCCTTAGCTCCGATGATGTTGGTTCTTAAAATTAGTACTTAATTCAGATGTGACGATAAAGATGCCTTTGCCTATTCTTGAAGCATTGCCATACACTTTTATCATAGGTCATTAAACAATTTCAGATAATAGTTTTGTCGGTCGTTTAGTTTTGAAATAATAATGTTTTCTTACATGATGAATACATCGTGTACTTAAAAAAAACTTTAGTATTATATTTTCATTACTTTTATCTCAAACGGTACTGTAGGTTCTTGTTCCGTAATGATTTTGAGTGGTTTGATTAACTTAGTAACATTTGCATTTAGTACTTCACGTTTTGTGTTCAAGATGATAGTAGGTTTACTAATGGTTTTATGTTTACGTTTTCATAAAGGGATTTTATCTTCACGAGTGGAGTACGTACATGTGGAATAATGGCTTGCGTCGTGTACGTTCTCCTTCCTCAGTCAACGCCCTGTTTGCAGATTAGATACAACAGGTAAACTTGGAAATTTAACGAGTTCATTTCTATTTTAAACAGTAAACAAAGATATGTTTCAGATTGATAGAGGGGAAAGAACATTGGGGAAGAAACAATGTATGAATGTGACAATATATGAATGTGAGTAGTTTTCACCAAAGTAAAGGTAACGTAAATACATTTTATATAAACAATATCCACAAAGCCTCTACAGTAGTGTTTCAAAACACTCATTTGTTGCATAATGTCCAACCACCTTGCGTTTGTTTTATACTAAACTTGTATTTATGAGAGATTATTATCTCATTTTGTGTACTGCGATATCTTTCATTCATTCAGAAAACGTGTTTATGTTTTGGAAACAAGGAATGTAAACAAACTTCGTTATCGGCCTCGGTGTTATGTATCGCGAAACAAAGTACCTTGTCAGGTGCGAATTTCCTTTCTGAAGCACAAAGGAGAGAAAGCGGTCGCAGGAAGCTTCCTCTCAAGGATGAAACGCGATCCGCCGCTTCCTGGTGACATTTGCGTTGGTTGATCCAAGGACTGAGCTACTCAACAGTACCACCATCTAAATAGTAATGTGCTCATATAATTCCACTAGTGTGATCATTTCACTGCCGGTTTAGTTAGTGACGGTCGCGTTCTTCCGTGAAATTACTAATTAAGTTTTTATTAACTTCTGCTTGTCATCCCTGAGTTTTATTGTTTGTTTTGTTTAATGGCTTTCAGTGAAAAAAAGAAGCATTGGTTTCAAGACATTTGAAAATATAATATAAATTTCATTTGCAAAACATTCACTAAGTGTTCGACTTCGTGTACTTGAAGTACACATTTTTTTAAATAAATGGGATAGATAATGAACAGATATTCAAATGTAGATCTTAAGTGAAAAAGTACCTGAATAATGTAACAATATAATCGTCAATGAAACCAGTATGATAAAACGACCTACAATATTATTTCACTTACGAATATACATTTTGTTCTGTTAAAATACATTATCTTACATCGTTAATGATGGTTGGTTGCCGTTCTCACATTTTCTAAAAGTTAATAAGCTAAGAGTTTTCAATAAAAGTTACTTTTGGATTTCTCAATGATCTCTTATAAACACAATTTGACGAGGTTAAAACGCATTAGATTTTCGGCTAATTTGTTTCATTTTTTAAATTCCAATATTTATTTTGGACTTTTATTTGCACTTTTGGTACTGTAATAAATTATTTATTTTTCCCCTCTAATAAACTAACATAATTAAAGCATAGAAATATGTATCTAATTACAGAATTACTGCTATGTCACGACCTTTCATTTCTTTAAAAATCTTACAAAACTAGGTTTTGGAAAGCAAAATGCATTATATCAAGGGTTCTGGAAACTCTGAGCCTCGTTTCAGTTTAAATGTCTTAAGAAAAAAAAAGAGAATGTTTCGTAGCAGTGCAACTTATTTGCAAGGCTGTTCCTGGTGCAAGGTACTTCTTACGGTTCCAAGAGTCCGACACCGTTCAATAGAAGGAAGAATAGTTTCTTGGAAAAAGCCTTCGAGATCTTTTGAATACTTTAAATGGTGAACAATTTTATAATAAAGATAAATAGTATATAACAATTCGTCAATAAAAATAAAGAATATATTAATATGAAAGTTAATGAATAAATTACGAATAACGAATAAAAATAAATATTTAAGGGATCAAACAGAAAGAAAGAAAGAAAGAATGAATGAGAGAAAGAAATAAAGAAAAAGAAAGACAAAGAAAGAAAGATAGTGAGTGCCTTTGCAGTAATAACTGAGTAGACACTGATATTTGTGCCCAGGTCATTCTTAAGGAAGTGTACGAGTGCCTATCAGACACCTTGCCTATTAGATACCCATGAGTGCCTATCAGAGTCGTACATATCTTATGCAGATGCAATTTTATAGAAACATTATTATTCGAGATCTCCCTTAGATTGTCATTACCTTTAATCAAACGATTTTGTGGTTAATACGAATTTCGAGGGTGTATAAAAATGCGACAATTAAAAACAAAACGCCACATTCGTCGCGCCGGAGCACTTTCCGTGAATGAGCCTACCGAGCAGGTAGTAGTTACTCGCGAAGTCGCTCCGCGCGCGTTCATTCGGGGAAGGCGGCGCGGCGCGCGGTCAAGGCGAGTTCCACGTAGTTCACGCACGCGTCGCGTTGAACAGCGCCGTCCTGGCACCGATTCAATTCCCCGGTGCGGCCCCGGCGACGCCTGCCTGCATCGCTGCACCTGCACTGCACCTGCTTCCTGGCCGGCATCGGCGGTGCGGCGAGGGCGGAGTAGAGGACGCAACACCGTCCAAGAGAAAAAAGAATACGTTTCTTGGAAAAAGCCAGCGAGTTCTTTTGAATACTTTTAATGGTGAATAATTTTATAATAAAGATAAATAGTATATAAACAATTCATCAATAAAAAAAAGAATATATCACATGTTTTCGTTTCTCTTAAAAGTTCTGTTTGTAAGCAGTATATTATTTTCACATTTACGTTATTAAGACTATGGGGGTGGCACTGGCGCTAACGAAAGTATATACGGGTTTATTTGAGCTGCATTTCACGATAAATTGTTTGAATACTAAATTGGTAACTGTTGATGGAATGTTGGACAGGCATTCAACAGGTAAAACTAAAATATGTTATTCTGTTTTCGTGGCCTCGAAGTTGAGATGCTATATTTCGAAATGTTGGCGATCTAACATTATTTTATTTCATGTCTGAGCAATATCCACACGATAAAAACAGACTCACGAATATAAAATTATTGATAATTATTAAGAAACTGACGAATGATTTAAAAGTTGTGTAACAATGGATTTTGACTAACAAGTTCATTCACAGGCATTTGTACGATTAATTACTGAAAACTTTACGTAATATCGTAATTATATTACTTTAATGTAATCTTCGTAACACTTATTTCATGGATCAAAAGAAAGCACAGTTGAAATGATGTTCCTTCGTTATTATCCATAACACAACCCTCAATATCTGAAGGTTCTAAATAATTATTCAGTATAATAAAATAGGAAAAACAAATGAGATTTCTGGAATGAGTTACTAACAGTATAAAATTACTTTAAAGTCTAGGTCACCTAAGTAACAAGATTTGTTTAATTACAGTTA